AAATTCACCAGTGCCACCTCGAACATCAACGAAAGATGTCAGGTCCTGAAACACAGACTTGCATTGGGTCATCACCACCTCAACGATTAAACTAGAGTCACCAGCCATGGCTTCATTAAAGATTTTCGCAAACTGAGGTTCCGCAGCAGCATAAGACCAGAAGTTTTGAAGGGTGTATTACAGATTTATACAAACAGATAAAAGCCTGCTGAATACAGATTTATAAGGGTGTATTCTTCTCTCTGGAATTGAGAATCATATGATTCTCAAATGACTAGTCAAAGTCTAAGAAATTAAATCCCAGATTTTTAGATGTTATTGTTGTCGTTAAAATAAATTTTTGTTCGGTGATTTCCAAATATAAGAGGTAAATGGCTGAAAACTTAATGTCAATGATCCTTAGAAGACGCCATATTTTGGTGGATTCTAAAGTGAAAGTATCAAAGAGAGTTAAATCTCGCGGATTTTCGAACACCACAGCTTAGGTCAAACTTGAGCAGCTCAAATAGTGATAGAACCTAGCGCTTGAGCAAAAGCATATGTCTGTGAGGCTCGAAACACTGTCAAATTTAATTGAGCATGAAAAAAAAAATAATCTTAATCGAGCGTTACACATATGTATAAATTTTTTTTATTAGTTTGAAATGTTTACTGTATGTCTGATCACAATTAAATGGATAAAGTTTTACAAAAATATGCACACTCTAACTCGGTGTAAGTTAAGTTTCAACAACAACAATGACATTTAAAAATTTGGGATTTAATTTTCTTGGATTTTGAAAAATTCTTGTCACTTTCAAAATCATGTGATTCTCAATTCTTGAGAGAAGAATAGATCCTTATTGATACGAACTCGACCCAACAAGAACCTGTCTTGAAGAACCGAATCGATCAGGCAGCGGAAGGATCTATCTTGACCAGGTTATGGATACAAAGATGGAAAGACCTTACGACCCCTCTAATCCCCGTGACTACGAACTTGTTGATATTATCTCAACCCGTAACCAAACGAATTAGTAAACCTCAGGCAAGTGTAGAAGGCGCCACAATTCAACATGGTCTTGAATTGATAAGCCGAAACTTGAACAAAGGAGATACAACTCACTTTGTATCAAGGAACGCTCCCAAAGGAACAAGAAAGAGAAAACTCTCAATTTTTTTATTCATCTCATAATTGTGTTTTTCAATAGTTAAATAAAGTTGGCTATTTATAGCCTTGCAAGACTCAAAACCCTAATCTAAATTGGAAACAATACAAGTTTCCTTATTTGACTTGACTTCTAAACTTGACACAACTTCCTAAACAAATTTGGAAGCAATTAACTGCTTTCCTAAAACTCTAATTCAACTAGAATAGGAAACTAACTAATTCAAATTGGCTTAATTATGGTCAACATGACCTTAGCCTTTATTCCCTAATTCAAACAACTTACTTAACTCTCAATTTGGAAATCAATCAAGATACCAATCAAGATTTGGAAGCCAATTAAAATTTGAAAAATTTGGATCTTCAATGATTCTCGAGCCCGATTGCACCATCAACCATCATTAGAATGTGCAGACTTGTAAAATGAAAGGAATCCATGCAAATCTTCATGTTCTCATCATTCCCCTCCTCTTGAAAGACGATTTGTCCTCAAATCGAGTGCTTGTTTACAAAGGAGTAACTCGGAGAATGTTATATGTAATCCAAGAACTTCAAGAAATTATCAAGCCAACTACAAGAAGCAAGAACAACAAGAAACAACCACAAGGTATGGGGAAAAAAGAGAAAAAAAAATAATTTTCGGATGAATAGTACTGCTACAGTACTACTACAATGCGGCGATGAACAGTACTGCTACAGTGTGAACAGTTCTGATGAACAGTACCGCTGTGAACAGTACTTTTTTTTTTTTTTGCTTTTGACGACTCGATGCAAGGTTAGGACTTCACTTGGAAGAAATTTAATAGGAGTTAAACCCTTGAAAAACCTGTTTTCAAGAACGTAATCACACCAAGAAATTCCAACCTCGTTCAATCAAGGGGGTAGGTTAGACTCAAGTGATAAAATAATAAAAACCAAAAAAATTTTTTTTCTTTTAAAATTGAAAGGCGGCTAGGGTTTCGATAGAAAAAAAAAATAGACAAATAAGAAAAGAAAAAGGATATTAACCTGAATCAAGAGCCGAAGCTCTGATACCAGATGATACGAACTCGACCCAACAAGAACTTGTCTTGAAGAATCGAATCGATCAGGCAGCGGAAGGATCTATCTTGACCAGGTTATGGATACAAAGATGGAAAGACCTTACGACCCCTCTAATCCCCGTGACTACGAACTTGTTGATATTATCTCAACCCGTAACCAAACGAATTAGTGAACCTCAGGCAAGTGTAGAAGGCGCCACAATTCAACATGGTCTTGAATTGATAAGCCGAAACTTGAACAAAGGAGATACAACTCACTTTGTATCAAGGAACGCTCCCAAAGGAACAAGAAAGAGAAAACTCTCAATTTTTTATTCATCTCATAATTGTGTTTTTCAATAGTTAAATAAAGTTGGCTATTTATAGCCTTGCAAAACTCAAAACCCTAATCTAAATTGGAAACAATACAAGTTTCCTTATTTGACTTGACTTCTAAACTTGACACAACTTCCTAAACAAATTTGGAAGCAATTAACTGCTTTCCTAAAACTCTAATTCAACTAGAATAGGAAACTAACTAATTCAAATTGGCTTAACTATGGTCAACATGACCTTAGCCTTTATTCCCTAATTCAAACAACTTACTTAACTCTCAATTTGGAAATCAATCAAGATATCAATCAAGATACCAATCAAGATTTGGAAGCCAATTAAAATTTGGAAAATTTGGATCTTCAATGATTCTCGAGCCCGATTGCACCATCAACCATCATTAGAATGTGCAGACTTGTAAAATGAAAGGAATCCATGCAAATCTTCATGTTCTCATCACTTATAAATCTGTATTCAGCTGGCTTTTATCTGTTTTTTTAATGGGGTTTTTATAGCCGACCAATTTTTGGTGTATTTTCAAGATAAAATACCCCTTTGTCTTATATATTGATACATTACCTCTTTGTCTTACATGTGAATCTCCATTACCGGCCGCTTGTTGATTTATGATGCCGCCTTATACATCAATTCATTTCCAACCTGCATTAGATATTGTATTTTCGAAATACAGTCTAATGCATCCATCTGATACTTTCTTTTGAGGTTTTCTCTGTGGTCTCGAAAGCCAATCCATCTTCTCGGGTGCCTCAATCCTGAATTGGATACTCTTGCTTTGACTTTCACTATGGTACTGTATTTTTGTGGAGTAAATGACACAAATAGTTTTAAATTGTTCAAAATTTATTATTGTGATCTTCAAAATTATGTACTCTTGTGACAATTATGTTTTAAAATTTATTATGAAAGGCTTGTTTAGACCAGCCTTGCTTTGGTTGTTTTATTTGATAACTTTTGTATATAGAATTAGGTTATAGTAGTAAATAGTTGTATTTTGTATAGCAGGTTGAATTTCGGGTTCATCTTGGTTGTTGCCAATTGCTACATACGTACATGGTAGGAAGACTTAAAAGTTAGTATGTACAAAATTTTAGTTATTTTTGGTTTGATTCTAGAGAGGGTGATGTTATGTCCTAGTTTTGGGACGTGAAAACACATATAATGGCTTCTTTTCTTCTCAATTCTCTTTTTCATTACACGATTGAGGAGAGAGTTGTGATGGCTGAAAGTTTTTGAAGGCTTTTTTTTGAATTGAAAAGGGAAAAGTGAATTAAAAAAGGATCAAGTGATGATATTCCATCCAAATTTGTTAGGAAGCCATCAATTGTTTTCAATTAATCAAAATTATGAGGATGAAATGGGTTTTGGTTGGAACTTGAAGAACAAAATTAGTCCAGATCCGAAACATTGGGAATTAAAAGTGCAATTTTCTCCTCATGATAGAAATGATACACCATGAAGGCCTAAACTGGTTTCTATCAAATATGGTTCACCTTTGTCGTAGGTTGTAAATTATTTTCGTTTAAGTGGTAATATAAAAATCTTCTATGATCCTTGAATAACAAATTAATTGTCGAAAAATGTTTTTGGTTTCTTCCACAAAATTCTGTAGTTTCCCAGCTTGCAACAAGTTGAAGTTCAAAAAGAGTTTGGAGCAATGTCACCAATCAAATATGAATAAGTCAATTAATTGGAAGATCATAATTCCGCAGCTCACTTTCAGAGGAGACTTCAGAGACGACTGGAAGTAAGATGTTGAGCTGCATCTATTTTCCGTCCACATATTGAAGTTTTAGTCTTCAAAGACTATTCTGCTTAATTACAATCAATCCTAATTGACCTGTTTTTCTAGAAAATGACCCTGTGGAATAACAAATATCTATGCTAGTTGGTCATAGCAGCCTCTATCTCGATTTCATCCTTAGACCCGAGGCAGAACATATTGCTTTGATTTCGAATGAACCAGATGGTATAATAACAAGAATTTCTAAAATTTAGTACGGGGGAAAACATTATAGCTCAAATGAGAATACTTGTTTTTTTTTTTTTTTTTTAAAACTTTCAAATGTTTAATGGGTGAAGATAAAATTTTCTGAGTCTAACTTGGGGTGGTGATTCCTATCGGATCTCCTCTCCGGAACCCCTAGGCCGGTCCGCCCATAATTTGCTAGTCATTAAGTGGGAAAATCAACATTTATGATGACTGGTGCTGTTTTCTGTTATGGCTCCTATCATAATTCACGGCTGGAGACCACCACACTAATTTCTGCTCCCAGTTCCATGTGTGTGTTAGCGTGTTATGAAGACTTCCATGCTCTTCTTCAATATTTATCATCTATCTTTTTTGTTGATACCAATCTATGTGAGCATGGCAATGGGCAAAATTCACTACTTTTTTTTTTTTTTTCCTGAAACAATAGAAGCTTTTATTTCTACTAATAGAGAAATTACACTGTATGAGCAAGGGCTCAAGTTTTCCTTCACAAAAGTGTACTAAGACACTGAGGATCAAAGACTTCCTCATCAAAATGTAAATGCATTGCTTGCTTACTCAGTTTATGACTGAGGCTATTCATCCTATTATTACCAGACTGAATATCAAATGAGCATGTCCTAAACATTAAGCTAAGATCTTTTATGTATTGTACGTGGCCTGCTAGTCGCATGTTGCCTGGGACTTGACAGTTGATAAGCTTGGAAACCTGATTGCTTGGTGTCTGAAGTTTGATGTTGCGGCAGCCTCGTTCCTTTAGCTTGCAAAGTGCCAACTGTATAGCCACAAGATTGTCCAGTACAGGTGATCCCATGCTTCTTTCTTTCATCATCCACACTGCACATATGTGGTGCATGCTGTTTTCTGCCATAATGCCAATTCCCATGTTCTGACCTTCGAAGTGCTGTCCCACATGTACACAAATGATCAATGTGTTTGCATCTTCGCCCACTATTTCCTCTTGTGCATTTGCTGTATCTGTTTCTGAGATGCTCACTTGTTGTTCAGCCTGTTGGGATTTTAGATATTCCTCCCACTCCATGACTGCCTTTGTAATCACTTTCATTGGATGTCTCTCTTTGTCTTCAAACTCTACTGCATTCCTGGCTTTCCAAATCTGCCAGAGAATGTCAACTATCAATGTTATATGTTCCCTTCCTTCTTTCCTAGCTTTAACTTCCATTAGTATACTCCACCATTTTCTGAAGTCGTTTGTGAACTCATGAAGACCATCCCATTGTAATGGAGCCATCTTCCATATCATCCTTGCTTTCCTGCACAGGAAGAAAATGTGCTCCACTGTCTCACGGTTTTCACCACATTGCTTACAAATTAATTCCCCTTTCCCTGTTCTCCGAAAGATTGCCTCTCGTCCTGGTAACACTTGATGCAGGCACTTCCATAAAAACAACTTGTGCTTGTGCTTTACTTTAAGTTCCCATAGCTGTTTCTAGATTTTGCTATTTCCCCCTGTCCAACTTGTTTCCCCCTTGTTGTTCATTTGTACAATAGACTGCCTGGCAGGACATGTGAGTGCTGCATATGCAGACCTGATAGTGTAGGTTTCGTTTTTGCTATGAGTCCAAAAGTAACAATCTGGTCTCCCTGTCAAGCTTATAGGTGTTTTGAGTATGTGGCCTGCTTCTTGTGAACTAAAAAGCCTAAAAATGAGAGCTGATTTCCACCTAAAGCTAGATATCAGCTCACTAACTTTTGTGACCTTGCAACCAGGGGGTTTTGTGGATTCAATCTTACCTCCCTTACCTTCCAACATCCAAGCATCTTCCCAAATTCTGGTACTTTTCCCATTTCCAATTTGTTTCCTAGCTCCTCGCTGGACCTCCTCTCTTGCGCTCATCAAACTCTTCCATATCCATGATGCATTACCTTTTACTTCACAGCTCAAGAGTGTTGTCTTGGGATAGTACCTAGCTCTCAACACTTTGCTAAGCAAAAGATTGGGGCATGTGAGGAGCCTCCAAATCTGTTTGCCTAGCAAAGCTTTATTAAAACTTTGAAGATCTTTGAAGCCAAGTCCACCAGCTTTTTTCTCAGTTGTCATTTTCTTCCATGAAACCCAATGCATTTTCGTTTTGCCTTTCTCCTCCCCCCACCAAAATCTTGCCATGAGAGAGTTGATGTCTTTGCATAACCTCACGGGTAGTTTAAAACACGACATGGCATAAGTTGGCATTGCCATAGTTACTGCTTTAAGCAAAACCTCTTTCCCTGCTTGACTTAGCTGTGTATTCCTCCAGTTGAGGATTGTTTTTTGGCATTTATCTCTGATGAAGCCAAAGATTTGCTCTTTGGTTTTTGTGATTACCATTGGCAACTCCAAGTATTTCCCTTGCTTCACCACCTTTCCCTGGCTACTAAAAAGCTCCTTAAATTTTAGCCTAGTTTCCTTAATAATAATATTACTATGGATCAATCAGCCCTTCTTGACATTAGTAGAGAAACAATTTCCCTGGAGAACACCTTAATTTTGGTATTAATAATTTTGGTGGAGAGCTTCCCTCTTGTTTTCGTTATTTACAGACACTCCAGCAACTTTTGACTCATAAACAATACCTTTACGGGTTCTATCCCACCTTCTAAGCACTCGAACAGATGTAGATTACTTAAACATATTGCAGGGAATGATTTCAATGTTCAAGGATATTTTGATTTCAAAGTTATGATGAATTTCACCTCGTAGTCATGACATATTACAAAAATTTAGAATCATTTAAGGACATGGGCAAAGCCAAATTGAATAAATTTCTTCCACTAGCTAAACAAATACCTTACTGTCATTACAATACAAGTATTATGGAGATTAAATACTTGGCCTATGTGGTTTCACAGAACTTGAACGGTAACAGTGTATTTAATATCTAGACAAGCCAATGTTCCACATAAGGATGGCAATGGGGCACCCACACCGCGGGGGTAGAAATGGGGCGGGGGATGGGGCGGGGCGGGGGCGGGGGCAAAATATTTCCTCCCGCATTACAACGGGGCGGGAGAGGGGAAACATACACCTGCCCCATCCCCCGCATACAATAATATATATATATATATTACAATTCTAAATTTTCTAAAGTTGCAACCTTACTTACAAGTACAACGTTAGTCAGTGTCAACGGCCGTCGCAACAACTGAAAAAATTTCTTGGACTATTGTTGATTTGTTTCTTGCGGCCCCCCAAAGACTAAGCTATCCAATTCCAACCTGTTTTGGTCCTAACTTTTTTTTATTTCGATCGGTTCCCTTCCTCCGCACTGAATGTAACTTAACTTGTTATGCTTTATTTCCATCTTGACAGCTTTTTAATCGTATTTAACATTGTTTACAATTGTATTATTGTAAATAAACATTTACGATAGATTGATTTCTTACCACAGGGGAAACGGGGCAAGGGCGGGGGACGGGACGGGGGGAGTTATTTGACAACGGGGCGGGGGCGGGGGCGGGGGATCCATTGCCACCCCTAGTTCCAGATATCATATACCAACCAATGAATATTAAGCGCAAATAAGTAAAATCGATGTATATAAAAGGCAATACTCAAAAGCTTTACGCGTAATAGCATTTTTTGAGCGTATATATTTGCTACAAGTAAAATGTCTAACTATATGAAAGTTTCATCAACAACTATTTCATGAAGTGATCTCAGTATATCTCAAATTAACTGCATTGTGGCTAAGGGTGTAAATTTTTTTGTAAGAACATACCGGGTAACTTGAAATGGTTACCTGCTGGCTTAATACGAAAATATTTACCATAAAATAAACAATCAAACGTGCAACGGACGATATGAGAGTACCTTTCACTAATTGAGAGCCAATAACATATTCCTGTCAAGCAATGGATAACAGATAATTTCAGAAACCTCCTCTGAGGTTTCTAATAATTCTGCTTGGCTCCCCTAACTCCCTTTCCATTTAAAACGACAACACTAAACTTAATATTTTTAATAAAACTCTCTTGTTACCATGTTTATGCAAAGGATGGATTTTATAATTTTTTTACGTTTTTCCTTCTTATTCATTTCTCTTATATTTCATTAGAAGTACAGAAAAGCTATCAATGCTGTCCTTAATATCTATCCAAATTAAACATTAAACTAGTAATATTTTTTTGATAACTTTTAATATCATTCAATTTTTTTTGTAGCCCTTTTTTTTGGTATCAAATTCAAGGATAAATCAACAATAATTAAAAATAAATGACCCAAAATCACCACTAAATTATGATAGTTCCATCACCAATCTAGTCCATAAACTTTTATTAAAAAAATAGTTTGTAAACTTTAAAAGAAACAAAATAGCACCTTTTTCTCTATTTTAAAAAAAATTTATATTCCCAATAAAGTATTATAAAAAAATACCCTATTATAGCAAAAGATTTATTGTTGTAGTTGATTCTCAAAGAACAAATATTGGCATGAAAAAATTGACGCTCTTTTTGTTTAAAGGAACAAATTAAACTTTGTAAGATAAAAGCATTTAGGGTATACATTAAATTTTTTACTCTATTTTAAACTTTGGTTACCAAAATGTTAAATCAAGAAAGGTAAGTGTAATTTTTAAAACGTCAAGAACTAAGTGAAATAGTAAGAAACCTCAAGGCAGGTTTCTGAAATTATCCCTAACAGAAGTACATACAAAATTCAACTTTGAAAAGAGAATAGACTTGAGGGGCGACTTGAGATGGGTGTGAAGTCCTTGTTTCCTTCATTCCACGGCACATGGCAAAAGAAACTAGGATCGTGACAGTGATAGGCAAAATATATCAAGTGACAGTGCCTGATAGGCAAAATATTCCAACCTTGAAGCTATAATCTCCGAAGACTATTCTAACGTCTACCGAATAGCGAGTAGCGACCTGATATTCTGCAAAGCTCTAACCCAACAAGAGGTTTAAAGAAGACTTGACGGTGGCCCCTTCCCCGCCCCGGTCCCTTAGGTCCGTCCTTGCATAATTTGGTAGCAATTTTGAGCTTGGTTAGAAATAAATGTACTGAGGTTTTTTTTTTTTTTTTTTTTTTTTTCCTAGTGGGGCGAAACTTTGAAGTAATGACGACAAGACATGGAAGTGTTGGAAATATGCTTGAATTTTTTGGGAAGCAATGACAAAAACCAAATTAATGAGAAAAAACATGTATTTAGGATGGGTATGGAATCGTCATCCTTATGTTTGATTTGCATTTTTGCAGAGATTATATAAAAAAGAAAATAGAAAACTACTATTCTGATACGTTATTGGAACAAGTATTTGTCCAGTAAAAGGGTGATATGGTTAAAAGAATAGTTCATAAAATATTTTTCAAATAGTAGCAGATCAAACAAATATAGCTTGCAAAAAATTGTTTGGATAGGGTATTATTTGAAATATTATTTGTTTGTAATGTGATATATGTGAGATAAAAAGGTGGTTGGGAATATAAAAAGGTGAGTTGAAAAATATGTTTATGATGCAAGCGAAATATTATTTGGGATAAGTTCACTATCCAAACAAACAAATATTGTTTTTTCATGATATACTAAACTAGTTGATCTACTTTTTTAATAAAAATTTGAGCAATCATATCATCTGTGCGTCTTCTAAGGGTTTCAAATTATTTTCGTTGAAGGGTCTGTTTGATTGGAAGTAAAATGTTTTCCTTGGGAAAATATTTTCCGTGGAAGTAATTTTCCATGAAAATCATTTCCCTTTCATCATTTTCAGGTGTTTGGTTAGCTTATCGAAAATATTTTCTTACTTCATTTTTCTGGTGTTTGTTTAATTTTTGAAATATTTTCACTTTTATCTCTATCTTTACTTTCTACACATTATAACAACATACTTCTTCCCATACAACATAAGAAAATTTATCTCATTGTTTAACTTTAAAAAATCTTGGAGAAATGTATATATGAATAAAAAATATTTCCTTAAGCAATAAACAAATTGCTGGCCATTTAGTGTGAAATATCAATCACATGCAATGCTTATTGTGACATATATCTTGCACTCTCACTCTGAAAGTTTCTCTAGAAAAGAATGTCCCTATTATACATAATTAATTACTAGCATAAGATGAGCAGGATGAGGTTTTTTTTTTTTTTTTAATATACTAGAGGGAGGGTTGGGTTGGGTGGTACGGGGGAGGGAGTGTAAGGAAGAGGTCTTGGGTTCGAATCCTCCTGTTTACACTAAAAAAAAAAAAAAAAGAACATACTACAAGATGTTTTCAGTAAGTTTGGAACATACTACAGGCGGGATGCATGCATTTCGGAAAACAACTTCAGTAAGTTTGGAAGGGAAGTTGTTTTCCATAAGATGAGAGAAAATATTTTACATAGGAAAATGTTTTCAGTAACTTTTGTGCAACCAAACACGGGAAATTAGGAAAATATTTTCCTGAAAAACATTTTCACCCGAAACAAACGGACTCGGAGTGATATCAGTCTTCCATAGTGCTTGGATAATGAATTGATTGCCCAAAAAAAAATTTTCATTTCTTCCACAGGATTACATAGTTTCCCAGCTTGCAATGACTTGAAATTCAAAAGGAGTTAACAAGCAACGTCATGAATCCAAATCGAAGGATATAATAAATTGGAAGAGAAGAAGTCTAGAGCTCACTTTCAGGGGAGACTTCAGAGACGACGTGAGGTAAGATAATGAGCTGCATCTTCCCCGACATTGACATTATAATCTCCGAAGACTATTCTGCTAAATTGAGTCAATCCTGACCTGGTAATGCAAAAAGTGATCAAGAGACTACTTAATAATTTGAAGCACTAATGTTCTACCCACCTTGGGTACACAAATAATTTGAAAGCCGTTTAAATTTGTAATTGACATAGTTTGCGAGAATGATAGACATCTATGCTATTTAGTCATAGCAGCCTCTTTCTCGATTTGATGCATAGACCCGATGCAGAACACATTATTTTGGGAGGGAAAATTTGATTTCATATGAACTAGATGGAATAATAAAAAGATCTTGCAAAGTTTTGTAGAGGAGCAAATATTTTAACTCAAAAAAAAAATACTTTGAAAACTTTAAGACATTTAAGGGACGAAAATGAAATTTTCTGAATCTAACTTGGGACGATGACTCCTATCTAGTCTTCTCTCCCGAACCCCTCTAGACCGGTCTGCCGTAATTTGATAGTTAACTATGTTTTCAGTACAACTATGTTTTCAGTGATCAAATGCTGTCGAAAAATATATAGACCAATTTTGTGATCTTAGACGTAGTTTTTCTCAGTCGCCATCTTCATTGCAAACGGTGCCGTCGTCAAGAATTTGAGGTAGTTTTTTCCTCCTCTCTTTCAAATATTAGTCCTATAA